ATTTCGAAATAACTTTGCTGTGTAGACGTCCCATAGGAGAAAAATACAGGACTATGTAGCACTTTAAAGACTAACAAGATGGTTTATTGGATGATGATCTTTCGTGGGCAAGACCCACTTCCTAGGAGGAAAGGTATTTCTGTAATGGCCCATTAGGGCAAGGGGGATTTTTCACTCCACCCTCTTTGGCTGGTGCTGCCCTGTGCAAACTTAGTTGTTTAGCCTAGAGCAATAATAAGACTTTGAATGGGAAGCAATCAGCACCAAGGACAAAGGAATGAAACTACTTAAAGGTTAAAAAAAAAAAGAGACAACATTACAACATACAGGTGCTCAACCTGTTAGTAAATAGAAACTGGAGGTTGGTTTTGGTACAACACAGAGGGAGACACCCTCCCCATTCATTTACTCAGAATAACCCTGTGTGAAGAGGGGAAATGTTCTTGGACTTTCAGATTGTGGTTCTTAAGAAACTAGCTAGCCCTGAAACAGACTGGCCTTTTGGGGAGAAATCTATTTTATTAAATAGAAAGGGTAACTTGTTAAGTGTAGACCAGATTGGCATTTTATGGTTTGTTTTATTGTATAACTGTTTTGTTTCCACCTCTCTCTGTTTTTTTGGTCAAATCTTCATTCTTACAACAAAACAAAAATAAGCTTAAGTGCTGTATGTTGTACAGGAGTGTTGGTTTAAGGTAAAATTAATAAACTGAGGTATGTTGAACCCTGGAAGCAGAGAATCTAGAATTTCTGAGAGTAGCTAATGTTGAAGGCTAGATATTACAGGGAAATGATTCAAAAGGATGCAGGTATTGAGGTGCCTCTATTGTTTACCTTAAAGGCAAATTTAGGTCTGCCATAGCCCAGAGGAGAATGTTTGAATAGTTGAAAGGCTGGTGGTGTCAGGGAGCTGATGTCCAGCTACTTCAAGAAAGACCCACTGCTTTCAGCAAGAGAGTGACAAACAAGGTCATTCTCATTCCTGGTTCTTGAGAGAGCCATCACAGCCTTCCAAGAGTAAGAAGAACATCTTTCTCTCTCTCTCTCTCTTCCTCTCTCCCCTTCATGCACATTATATTATCCTAAACTTACCAGTACAATACTTTTGTGCACTTCAAAAGGTGTAAATTTTAATCCTCCTTTGTCACACACTAACCAGCCCTGTGTAGGGTGCACTAAAGTTCCCTAGTGGTATGTTAATATAGACTACCATGTGAGTTGTCTCAGCTTGATGCTAGCTCTTTCAAGAGTGAGATACCACAGAGATCTTTCTGCAATATATTCAAGCAACCCACTGTTGGAATGTTGTGCAACTTATCTAATGCTCACATTTGCGGAAAGCTTTCTCTACTTACTGAACGGGGAGAGAGTTCATGTACCTTTCCCCTTCTAAGTAATGCTTCTAAGTGGATAGAGATCAAGAGGTTAATTTTTTGGTAGACTCCTTCCAGCTAGCTAGGAAAAGTAACTAGGTCCAATAGAAAAAGTTCATGATTCCGTGTGAAAAGGCGTGGTTTAGAATTTGTGTGCCCTCCTCCCAATTCATTTGGCAGCTATTTGGGCTTTCCCAGAACTATACTCAGATTTTGACTCTGAAAGATTGCTCTCTATGTGCCTGGCAGCTGCTGAATAGAGCAGGCCTCTTCTTGCTGGTTATACTGCTTCTGTTTTCATAACAGTACTAGAGCAGTAGAACTGAAAGAGAAAGGGGGAGGGGGGGGGGAAGCAGCTCAAAATAGTAGGTGCTGGATGCAAAGTAGAAAACATCCTTGCAGGGAGGGAGAAAGTTGTTGACCATAGAGAAGAAATGGGGGAACTTCTGGTAGTACAGAGGTAACCAGATGAGACTACCTTATCAGCTGGAGATTGCTTCCGCAACTACCCTATGTAGGTATTTGATGCCCTTAGCTTAGAAGATGGATATTGAGTCTTAAGTTCTTCCACGAAGTGGTTGTCCATCGCCAGCAATTTCAAAAAGTACCTAAATGACTTAGAAGTGAAAGTTGCTTTGAAAGCCAGTGAGAATTGATTCCTACATCACTTTTCAAAAGCATTTCATTCACTGACCCTACCAAGAGCTGAGTGGAGATTAGCTCAGTATGGACTCCAGCCATACTGGTAGAGTGGCTTTCTCATGCTCAGTGCTTACTAACTACCTTACCCATTACAAAAATAGCTTCCCCCAATATCATTATCTCATAGACACTAACCTCTTCCCCCCCCCCCCCCCCCCCCCCAGCTTCAGTGATTCCCCCAAGAAAACCCATCTTTCCTCTGAAGACTCAAAGGAACAATGAAGCAGGTGATTCACATTTGAAATTACTTCCCTGGCCTAGTCTTGCTCAGTGCAAGACAAGATAGGTACCTTACATCTTTTTGTGTGTGAGATGTAAACCTTACTGTTAAGATCCCTAAAGCCCTATTTAACACTGGTAGTAAGTTTTTGTGCATCTTTTAATCGGCATATTTTGTATGTACCATATTTATAAGATCAAGTGCCCATGTTGGATGTCAATGTAGTGATTAAACATTAGTATAACAATTTCCTTTGAAGCCACTTTACATGTGAACAGACTTATTAATGAAGGTTTTCCTTTTGGTATTGGTGACTTCAACTTGTGTCTTGAGCCAGCTTTAGGGCCCTGTCAACAGATGTACTAGCCAAGTCCTTTAAAGAAAGGTGGTGTGCATTCATCCTAAATATCTTCCAAAAGTAGTACTGGGATTCCACCTTAACCATCCTGCCAACTTTCTTTTGCAATGCATATCCAAACTTGCAGGATATTATTTCATCAGTTTATCAAGTAAAATTCCTTACTCTTATCTGGAACAGATTAGATGAGAGAGAGAGCTTTCTGATGTGTACATTGCACAGCTCCCTCATTGCTGCTTCTTGGCAAGCACACAACTTATGGTCAAAGTTCAGAGAAAAAAGTTGGTCTTTACGGCTATCTTCCACTGAGTTTACATATATAATATTTGGAAGGCTGCCACTGAGTTCTGTACATCTTTATTCAAACTATTACTTCTTGAACTTGACGTCCTGGCTAGAATCAAAATTTATCCTTTGTTCTCCAAACTTAACACTGAGCTAGAGTTACCCAGCCATTTTTCACCTTGTTTTTATTTTCATGATGTCCTCATCCTTAATAGCTACTGCTGAATAATTGAAATATCTCTTTAAAAATGAGTCGGGTGTGTTTCAAACTTCTAACATGTGTTGCAGAAAAAAATTCTCTTTACTTACTTTATAGGTAAATCTTCTATTTATACTGGCATTGCTCAGGTCCAGAACTGAAAATTTTTATTTTTCTTCATTTAAATTGGGGTGGCAAACCTTTCTTGGGAGAAGCATCTGACCATTACCGCTACAGCTGCACTGGCACAGCTGTGGGAGAGGTGCATGTTCCTGGCTGGGAGACAAAGAGAAACTCTCAGCAATATATAGATTACTGGGCCAGAAGGGTCAGCTGTGTTATAACTGCCCTCTTTCCCATCTCTGGTCTCTAGCTTCCCTCTGTGGTCATTATACCATATAATTCCCTCTTACCAGACCCCATCCTTTTCCATTTTATGAGAAACAATTGAATTCCAGGTTAGAGATGTGAAAGATTAATCGGTAAGCATCATCCTTAGTAGGTGATGCTTACTAGTTCCAGTTAATCAGTATCTGGTGGGGGCAAGCCTGTCACAGACTGGGGGCTTGCCACAGACAGGAGCTCCGCTCATCACTAGTCTCTTAAGTAATAGTATCTATTTTGAGTAGTGATATTTTTATAAATGGTACCTTCAGAGAACAGAAGTGCGTTTTTTTTCTCTAGCTTGTTGAATTTAAATCTTCCTCAGTTTTCACCACATTAGATTTATAGCAAACTTTAAGAAAAATAAAGGTCTCTCTCTTCTGCAGACACAAGTCTATTGGTCCAACAAGTGGAAAAAATTCTGGTTTCTGGATTTAGGTACCTTGTTTTCCTGTAAGTGAGCTTATTATTGTATCGATTAAGCTTCAGTAACTGAAGATTGCATAGTGGTGACTTACAGTGCAAGTTAGCAGCCATAGTGCTTAGTTTATTCAGAATCATCTCATATTAACAGTGGTTGTTGTTGGCTCGTTAAATCATGTTGTAATGAGTGTGAATAACAACTTGAGTTATTTCACAATGTGCTGTCCTACATCCTGCAAGTGGTCTGTTTCTGCACTCAAACTATGAGCAAACAGTATTGATTTCAGTAGGAAACACTTGCAAACTGAGGCAGTACAGAGCTCCAAATGTACAATGTATTTAAGATCAGGTAATTTAAATATTGTGATGCTAAGTACATTACAAATATCTTGATCATGTGATTACAGTAGTTGTCAAACATTCAATGATGAACTGACATTTGTTGGTTTGCGGTAGTGTCATCATAGCAACTTGAATTGATTAATAAAATCCTGAAACTTTAATCATTACATAGATTAGTTTTCTCCTAATCAGATTTGTTTTGCACTGTATCAAATATAATCTTGGACATATCACTACACCTCTTTGCTTCAGTTTCTCCATCTGTAAAATGGAGATAGACACTACTTTTTAAAGTGTTTTGAGATCTCCTTATGAAAAGTAAGGTACAATATAAATTTTTGTTTTTAGTGGCTCCTGCATTTCAAAATTTAAAAAAGCGGGTGTCTTTGCTCAATTTAGTTAAAAACTGGAACAGAATGGAGGCTGATACAGGTAAATGATCATAATCACCACCACTCTGTTTCTTATTGACTTTACTGATACTTTGTAACTGTATTTTTATTAAGGACTTCTGTTGTCAAAGTTCTGGAAAAAATGATTCATTTGGGTCTAGTTTACATTCTACAGTCAATGCAGTAAAATGGAGGAGTCTAATTTCTTTTCAGCCTTAAAGATGAACTTAGTTTTTAGCTACTAAGACGCGAGTTTGTGGTTTTAATTGTTTAAAACCTGTCCCAGATTTGCCTCTTATAAAAATATATTTTTATATTTTAGGTGTGGAATATAAAACAGATGATTAAATTAACACAAGAACATATAGAGGCACTCCTGGATAAGTTTGGCGGAGAGCATAATCCACCATCAATATACTTGGAGGTAAGCTTTGGGTAAACTTGATTTTTGCATTCATGTACTATGCCAAATATTTTTCAGGTATAATTTAACTGTCCATTAAGAGTCTAATAGTAATACTTGCAATAGAGAACTATTTCCTTCTTGACTATACAAAAACAAATTGTGCTTCTAGCACTTTAACATGGAAAAGAGGTATTCGAGATGAGGTAGTCAAGGTCCGGCCCACCAAGCCTTTTGTTCTGGCCTGTGTCCACCCCGCAGCAGGGAGCAGCACTGATAAAAGTAGCTAGCTGCTCTGTGTTTAATCTTGCTGAAGGGAGAAGGGCTGGGGAGAGAGGCTTCAGCGTGCTGCCCCCATGCCCTCCCCAGCAAAATCTCTCAGTTCTTATTGGCTGGAAACCAGCCAATGGGAGCTGAGAGATTTTGCTGTGGGTGGGGCAGTGCAGCATAACTTCTCAGCTCCCATTAGCTGATTCCTGACCAATAGGAGCTAAGCCATATTGCTTGGGGGTGGGGACAGCATGTGAATTGAATTCTCTCTCTCGCTCCGTCCCACCTTCCAGAGCCACATGCACAGCCAGCTAGTGATCTGGGGCTGCTGGGGAGTAAGCCTGCCTGAGTGCTGCTGGCAGGAGGTGCCTTATGTAAGCACTTCCAGAGGCAGCCTCTGGCCAGGCACTTCAGCCACTTCCAACTCCCTCCCAGACCTTGTACGCCATCTAAGCCCTCACCCAGGCTAGAATTCGTCTCCTGTATCCATATCCCCTCTTGGACCCTGCACTCCAATCCCCTGCCCCAGGTCACAACCAAACCCTTTGTACCCTCCTTCAGTCTGTCCCTGGTCACAACCCTCCTGCCCCCCGCCCCCTGATTTTCCACTCCTTACACCACTCCCCCAGGTCAGAATTCTCTCCTGAACCCCAATTCCTTGCCTTAGATCACAGCTCCCTCCTTCATCCAAGGTCTCTCTCAGACCTCACACTCTCTCCTGCACCCCAATCTGCTACCCTAAGCTCCCTTCTGTACCCAACCTCCTGTCCCAAACCCTATAGCCCCTGTATAGAAAAATGTGGGCCTTGACCACTTACCAAAATCTTGGAATGCCCCCCATCAGAAATTATTGCCCACCCCCATATTAGAGTGAGTCATGACAAACTGTAAGGTCTCTGGTGGGTAATGTGTGTACCATTGAGGGGAAAGGCAAAAAACTACTGAAATAGATGTATTGTTACAACTAGTGTAAAACATAGACTCTGTAACAACAACTTTATGTTCTGTATTCAAAGTGTGTGGATGTGTATATATCACTACTCTAAAGATTTTAAGAGCCACTCAGTTTAATTTTAAACTTAAAGCATTCTTTACAGACTCGAGTAGAATCATAAAATGGTTAGGATTGGAATGGACCTGTTTAATCCATGACCCTGCTTTCGGAATATTTGTAATATTTTTAGACCACATTTAAATTGAAAGATAGTACCAAAATAGTTGAAGCTAGGTTTCTTGCTATTTCATAAGTACATCTCCATAGGCCTTCACTCTTAAAGATGAATGGGCACAGAGCCATTTGAAGCCATACTAAAGGGCCTCATGTACTAGCTGCATCTGTATAAAAAGAGGGGTACTGGTACTACTCATTCAGTTTCTTCCCTTTAGATAGGTATTAAAATCATTGTGGGCTAACAAGAATCTATTTAATGATAAACTGTAGTTGTTTCCTTTCAGTATTGTGTAATTGAAAATGTAGGTTGTTTGAGGTACTTCCAGCTTTTTCTTTCTCAGGGTCAGGTCACTAGTTAAACAGATATTTGCACAATGTCTTTAACTCTTAAATATAAATGTCTTTGCTGTTTAGATCATGGTTATTCTTTGAGAATGTGAAAGGGATATATAGGATATCCTTGTGACTTGCAGAATCATGATTCCAGTTTTATGTATTTGTGGGTCTCCTGTCCTGGCCCCTTCAGGGAACTCACCGTGGCACCCAGGACCCATTGGAAATCCCCCAGCAGGGGCTGGGAGCCATGGCTCCCAGTATTCATGAATTTCACCATTCCCAGTGGATGCTGTAATGAATGAAATGCAATCTTTGGCATTAATCTTCCCATACTCTTATCAAGACACTTGAATCCTGATGTGAAACAGCTTGTTCCACTCATGAGCAGATGCTGCCAATTGTGTCGTGGTTTTGCTATGATTAAGTTGCATGTACGATAAGCATAGGTTTCCAGTGGTGAAATGGTTAATTTGTTACATTCATGAGCTACTCTCAATTTACCTAAAAACAAACACAAATTTATATTTGACATTTAACAAACATTATTTGGAATGTTCAGTACTTCACAAAAATCACTGTCTATATTTTTATCTCTGTAATAGCAGGTAGAGAGGAATTTGGGACAGAAAATGCATGATGTGAGAAAATCCAAAAGTAATTTGTGTAAATAGTTTAAATATTATAATACAAGATGGCTAGTAAGTAAACTTGCTTGAATGGTGCAGTTATGGTCAGTACAGAACTGGAAGAACAGAGATGGGCTGATATTTGGCAAATGAAATCTACACCTGCAATATGTAAAGCCGTTCAAATGGGAAGACCAAAAATAGGATTTCTAGACTTGGTCGAGTAGAACTGGAAGAAAGTATGAGGGAAAGAACTCAAGATATTATAGAGCAGCTAGTTGCAACTCCATAAGTAAAGTTGAGTTGTGGTGTTCCTTGAAAGTAGGGAGTTCAATCTTTATTTTCTCTAGTGAAAAATACAAACTTACAACAAATTCCTCAAATTTAGAATACTTTGAGCGCAGTGATTTTTCTGAGACTGTAAGTAAATCTGTTTGACTTGTTTGCATTAAAATCAAATGGCTTTAAGAAATTCAATTTCTTCGAGTGCTTGTTCATATCAGTTCCACAGGTGTTTGCGTGCCACATGTACGGAGATCAGAAACTTTTTTTCCCCTAGCCGCATCCATTGGGTCAGCCAGGGAGCCCTGTGGAGTGCTGGTAGTGTATCATATTGTATATTACCTTGCTGACCCACCCCTCTCTCAGTTTGTTCTTATTGTCTGTGGTGGCGTTGGAACACTTCACTTGTTCTGCAAGTATGCCCTAGCCACCTTATGCTTGTTTGTTGCTTGTCCTACTGTTTTCTAGTTTTAGTCATTATTTTAGATTTAGTAGTTAGGGTGGTAGTTTTACTACTGCCCGCCTTGGGTGGTGTGCTATGCCACAAGCCGAAGGGTTTAAGACATGCAATTCCTGTCATAAACCCATGGCAAACAGGGACCCCCACGACTCTTGTCTCCGCTGATTGTTGCAAAATTTGCCAGTCATTCAAGCATAAAACAAAGGAGAGAGACTTTTGCCTGAAGCAGTTGCTAATGAAGGCAGCTCTCAAGCCAACAGCATCTGATCGGTTCATAGTGCTCTGGCATCAGTCTGCAATACAATGCAGGCAAAAGACTCTGCCAAAGAACCCCGGTTCCGTAAACCCCCAGCACTGTAGTGAGAAAATCAGCCGTGGCACCGCTCGACCTGCCCAGCACCGAAGAGGCTGACAGAGGGTAGTCCCCTCTTGGCAGTGCACCTGACTTAGCAGCTCTAATTCATGGTGCTTCCCTTTGGCTTCTCAAATGCACCCCCTCCTCCCCTATGTTCACACAGTGCATGGTGGTGATGGCTGCCTTTCTCCGCAAAAGGAGGTTGGAGGGGTACCGCTACCTCAACAATTGGTTGTTGAGAAGCTGCTCCAGAGAGTAGGTGGAGGCTCACATCAGCCTCATTAGGAGCACTTCCCGGAGGTTGGGAATTCT